TGGCAACCCTCCTTGCATGGATTGAGTTAAGAGTGTGAAAGAGGGATGACCGAACTCCTTGGATCATGGAACTCAAGGTTTCTAGCCTTGGAGATGGAGATGGGCGAATGGTGTTTATGGAGGCTAGGGGTTTGATGAAATGCTAAGGTGGTACTCTAGGGTTTTGGCTCACTTCATTGATGGATGAAGGCCACTCCTAAAGGTGAGAACACTCACGGTGAAGATGAGAAGGATAGGTGGCCGAAATGACCAGGGGACTAAGGAAGAATATTAAGGCATATTTATATTGTTTATTTTAAAGTATAATTTTTTGTCACTTATTTTGTTTTATGTGACATCCATTCTACCCCAATATACATAATAAAGTAAATTAAAGAAATATCAATTTAACATAGGTAAAATGGTTCACATATCCAAAAGAAAATACATTTCCAATATCTGATCAATTTAAAACAAAGTTTAGAAAGCAAATAAGTTCGTAAATAGTTTCAAAGGAAATGTAAAAACTCCAATTACAATAAAAATTGAAGCCCTAGAAGGCCCTTGCCTCGATGTCACACTATCAGAGCATTCCTATGACTTAATTATTGGTACCTTAAATGTCACTTATGTCCACATCTTCCTCACCTAAAAACAACCACAATTGTACAGTGAGAAAATAAAATATTTATATAGAAAGCATATCACGAAATTCAACAACACAATCTCAAAGCAGTATAATCCATAAACACAACATTCATCATTCAAATATGTTCAACATCATTTCTCAAATCCACATATTTCATCATCTCATCACAACCACATATTTCATCATCTCAACACAATCCATATATGTGCTTATAAACAAATTGCACATATACACCGTGCCACACATCCAACACCAAATCACATATATGCTCCTACTGATGCATCACACATTCAGCATCGTGTTACACACCCGACTGTGTTAATGCATTCCACTATCAACATCGATATCACGCATACGACTATACCGACCTATCACACATCTAGTACCGTATCACACATACAACCATACCCACAACAACACATAAATAGCATTGTATCACGTGTGTGCCCTTACGGCCCGGTGTCACGCATACGACTGTGCCCAATCATCACATCACAGTTAACAATTCAATTTCAAATCACATGCACAACCAACATTTCCACAATAAGTCATACACATATCTTACACATCCTCCTCATACACATCAATCTTTAATTCACAATTAATTTACATTTAATCCAGCACATACCATTTATACCTCTTCATACAATAGTTATTACTAGACATCATACGATTCACTACCATTATCAAAATCCATCAATACAATATCATATTTCACAATCCCACATCAAACTCATTCAATCATATCATGCGAGGAGATTAGTCACTGCTGTCGGCGGTGGATACTCCAGGGACGAACAAAAAAAAAAAAAAATCAATTATATTTGTTTTCAATTGCACAAAAAGAATAAATGCTTTTGTTTAAAGTTAAAGATTAGTAATAATAAATATTTAAGACTAAAGGTTAAATAATTTAAAAGAAATGAGAAATTAGTAAAATAATAATTGTGTCAATTATTTACTAGTTAACTGTCCATAATTACCGTGATTAACTACAATGATAATCCCCTTCAAAAAAAAAACTACAATGATAATTTATGATAATTTAATATATTTAAATAATATATAATTTATGAAATTTATTAAAAAATTTCTTATTTAATATTTGAATGAGTTTTGCTATATATCATATAATATGTAATATTTTTTAAATTCAATGATTGTATTTTGTAATAAATATATAATTTTACAAAAAAATTAAGTTAAATTTCCGATGTTAAATGATAAAATAAGAATAAACTAAATTAACAATTTCACAAAATATTGCTACTAATTGTCTTAGAAATGCTCTTAATCATTTGGTAAATAATTTTCCTCTTAATATGCAATGATAGAAAGTAATTGTTTATCAGCTAAAATCGAATACTATACCCAAATTCTTAAATATAATTGATGTCATTGTTATAATTTTAACCTTTCGATTATTTTACGGTAACCTTTTGCTTTATTAGAATTAATAATAATAATAATAATAATAATAATAATAATAATAATAATTGATAATACTAACAATTTAAGGCTAAAAATTAAATAATTTTAAATAAAATGAGAAATTAGTAAATTAATAATTGTTTCACTTATTCACCAGTAATTATTTATCGATGACTAGCTTATAATTAACGAAATTAATTACTGATTTTGTAAATAAAAAGTTATCAAAAGTATTGATTTAGAATATCATTTATATAGGGAATGTTAGGGATCGCAATGAGGCTCCATAGGGGCGGGTAATAGTAAATCCGCTCTCACCCTGCCGGATGAAAATTGGTCCAATACTCACCCCATATCCACGCAGGTATCCATTAAGCGAATATCCATGAATTTTTTGAATACCCACGGATATTCATGGATATCCATGGATATTTATAATTTTTTTAAGAAATTAAAAAAATTATATTACAAACAATTTTAAGTTTATATTTAATGTCATTGAAATATTAAAAATAAAAATTTAAGGTTAATTTTGAACTTGTATTTAACTTTAATTTTGTTGAAATAAATAAAAATGCAAGATAATCAATAACTTAAAATACATCAACCTCACAAGTAAGTTAATGTCACATCACAAAGCTATAATAATTTAATCTCATAATTTCAAACGAAAGTAAACAACTTAAAATACATAAATTTTATTGGTCCAATCAAAGCAAAAAAATTAATCAAATTACATCCAACATAATTCTATAACATGCTTAACACGTGTTGGTAACTTCATCAACCTCATTTTTGTAAGAAAATAAGATGAGAGAGTTTAGTTTTAGGGTTATGTGGTACAAGGATGATTAAGATATTTAAGAAATATTATTAAACGAGTATCCGCGGGTATGTATATCATAATACCCGCCCCCGCCCCATTTATAAACAGGTAAAAAATTATCTTTCCCCATTATTCGCAGGTACCCAATTAACCTATCCATTTATTATTCGTAGCGAATTTTACCCGCAGATATTCCTGGGTGCGGGTATTTTTGCCATCTCTAGGGAATGTATTTGACTTATATATATTTAAACATTTCCTATAATAAACCATTTCTATTATGCACAAACTTCTATTTAATTATAATATATTACCATTATTATTTGATTTAATTTTAGAATGAGAATATATTACTCCTATATAAATGGTTCTTTAAGATCAAAAGTAGGGATGTGAATAAGTCAAGTCTTAAATAAAAACATATGTTCGACTCTTTAAAGTCTGGTCCGACCTGTCTTGCTTAATAAAAATGTCAAGTTTAAACTTTTTAAAAAACTTATTTATATAAAAAGATCAAGTTTAGGTTTACAAAAAAAACTATTAGGCCTAATAGGTCAATCTATTTATTTAAATAATATAATAAAAAAATTTATATATATATTAAAAATATAAATAAACAAATAAATTTATAGAATAAAAATAAATTATCAATATTTAAAGTATTTTTTATACAATTATTTTTTTTCATTATAGGTTTATAAGTTTACAATCTGTATATGAGTGTACATCAACATACATGGCTACATATAAATTGTCTCTTTAAAACAAAATGGTTCAATTTTTCTCTTAAATTTAAATTTTAATAATAGAATAAATATACTTCAAAAATAATTTTGTTGATTTTTAAAAATTAAGTTTATCAGCCTAATTAATATTAATAATTTAAATAGACTTTTAGGTAAACTAATAGATTAGGTTAGACCTATAAAAAAAATCTATGATAGCTAATAGGTCAGACTTACTTTAATTTTGTAGAACAAGTCCAACCTATATATTTAAAGTCTGACATGCCCTATTCTCATCCCTAATCACAGATTCACAAGGTATTAAATTGTTAATATCTATATCTTATTAAGATATTTTTGTTTGGTTTGAAACTAATTATAGAATTTTTTTTTTACATACAGGAAAGCAAAATTCAAGCATCTATTAAAAAATTGTTAATTGATAAGTTTGATTAATTACTTGAAGAAGACTCTATGTCTCAAAACAGTTAGTAACCCAAAATAAAGCAAGAATTAAAGTAACATCACTTTTAAAATTGATTTTTTAAAGATATTTTGTATCCAAGCAAAGAAGATACATTGATTGGTTAGTCAATTTCATATTATATTTCTCAAAATTATTTATACTACATACTATATTTGTTAAAATTATTTATATTGTTTATTTTAAAGTATAATTTTTTGTCACTTATTTTGTTTTATGTGACATCCATTCTACCCCAATATACATAATAAAGTAAATTAAAGAAATATCAATTTAACATAGGTAAAATGGTTCACATATCCAAAAGAAAATACATTTCCAATATCTGATCAATTTAAAACAAAGTTTAGAAAGCAAATAAGTTCGTAAATAGTTTCAAAGGAAATGTAAAAACTCATCACCTCTTGGTCTTCTTGGCCTTAGTGTTATTTCATCATCAAGATCCTAGTCTACCGCACGAAAAATATTAGTATGTCCTCTACAACTATGTTATAAAGAAATCATAAAATTGTGTAAAAAAGATGAGAATCACGATCAATTGAATATATGTTGATTTTTTTTTTTTATTTCAATACAAATTCTTTTATCCATCATAATTTCAATAAAAAAAACATTTTAAATTAAAAATTTTATCCACATTATGCCAATTCTCAATCATTAGATAGATCTTTGTGGTTCCATCAATAAAAGTTTTGATCATAAATTTTTCAATAAAAAATAAACTAATTCAAATAAGAATTAATTTAAATAAATAGAAAATTGCTCTAAGAATAAAGAATCTAGCAGACATCCTTTTTTTTTTGAAACATTTTTTCTTGGGTGTAATAATTTAAGAATTTAATTTCTCAGGAGAAAGCGACCGTTGGATTGTAAAGTCGACAAGTACCTACCTTCGCCGAGTGAAGAAAAATAAAGAAAAACCCTACTTATCCAAGTGAAGCAGAGAGTTCTTTTTCTTTGGAAGCTAAACCAAACGAATGAGAGTGATAAAGCATAGCAGAAAAAGAAATGAAGAAAGCGGAATCTGAAGAAAAAGCAACAGAACCAATCGAAAAGGATTCAGAGGAGAAAGAAGACCAACACCACCAAGACTCGGAGCAAGAGAGAAACGAGGAAAATCAAAACGACTCCGTTTCTGAACCCTCATCATCCTTCTCTCTCCACTCTCCGTCCCTTCGAGCTCGCAAATCCCCTTCGCCGCCGCTCCATTCGCTCTCCGACTCGCCCATCTCCGATGGCCGCTCCTCGCCGCCGCCGCAAAATCCGCCGCCGGACTCGTCGCCCGACTCGTCGATTTCCGACGGCCACTTCTCCATCGCCGACCAGCGCCTCTCCCCTGTGGTGACGGCTCACCGATTCCAGGTGGAGCCCACGGTGGTGACCAAGCTAGATCCCGGCGCCGAAGAGGGTTTCGTCGGCTTCAAGGACGTGGAGCAGGCCACCGGCAGCGCCGGTAACCGCCGACTGAGACCGGATTTGTCCGGTTTGCTTAGGTCTAAAAAACTCGCGTCGTGGAGCAAGCTCTTGTTGGGCTTTCGGATAAGCGCTTTCGTTTTTTGCTTAGCGTCTTTCTCGGTTCTTGCCGCTGATAAGAAACGGGGCTGGGCTCTCGACTCTTTCTATTTATACAAGGAATTCAGGTGGAATTATGGTAGTAATTTTTTTTTTGTTTTTTTGTTTTTCTTTTGGTGATTAGGTTTTGATTGATTGGTTTTATGTGGCGTGTGATTTTGCAGGTATAGTTTGTCGGTGAATGTGATTGGGTTTGTGTATTCTGGGTTGCAGATATGTGATCTAGTGCGGTACTTGGCTGCGGGAGAGCACTTGGTGGAGCACCAGCTAAGGGGCTATTTAACCTTCGCGATGGATCAGGTAAAACAGTTTCTCTGTTCTCTCTGACTTTGAGGGCATTGATTTGAGTATGGCGTGATTTGTGGTGAATATTGATTGTATTGTGTGAGGAGCCACAAAGGAGGACCATAGTTGAGTCTTGGTGGTGGGTTTGGGAGAATTGGTTAGTGAAATGCATCATCTTCAACCATATTTTAAGGTCTGCGGTTGGAAAGTAAAACTCCTTTCTTTGGACACCTTTTTATTACTACCGTCCCCTGTTTTGAATTTGCCGTTTGCTTTCTTAAAGTTGGTTCTGAGTTCCAAAGCTTTCTCAAAAGCCGAAACTTATTGTAGTATGGTTGGAAAATGTTTTGTGAACAATTAAATGAGACAACAAAAGGTTGTGCCCTTTAATTTTTTGGGGGTATGTTTTAAAAACGAAAGAGAGAGACACACATTGGTTAAACCTTTTCGCACTAAAAAAAGGGTGTTATTTTTTAATTAAATAAGCACTTATATATATATATTTTAACATGTTTGTCTAAACTTATTTTTTTTTAAAAAAATTAGCAATTTTCTATTTTGTTTTAAGAAGCAACTCTTATTTGTCTTTGTAAAAAATTGTTTTTTTAAAAAACACTTCTTTAAAAATATGTTTTAAAGTTTAAACAAATGGACCCTAAATTGCATTGTTCTGTCTCTGTAATAAAATCCAATTTTCGATTTTAGTCTCCCAAAATTTAATCTAGTCTCAATTTTGTTAAATTTAACCGTCAATGGATAAACATTTAATATTGGATCAAAATTAGGAATGGCAAAATGGGCCAGCCCGCCCTGTTTTGGCCCGTCCCGCCAAAAATGGGCCGGGCCGGGTCGGCCCGCCAACGTAAAATGGGCTGGAGATGCTGGCCTGCCTCGCCTTAGGACGGGCTGGCGGGTTGGCGGGCCAGCCCGCATACAAAAATAAAAATAAAAAAAATGAAAAAAAATATATATTTTATGTTCAAATAAAAAAAATTTGTTACAAATAAATAAATATAATCATATGAAATAAAAAATGCATACATATTGTACATAATATATGTTCAATAAAAACAAATTACAAACTTAAAACAAAATCAAATAGAAATTAGTCCATTTACACCAAAATCAAAACCAAATTATAAACTTACACAACTAAATTTTTTGATAGTTCACAAAACAAGTTTAAATACAATTAATTAACTTAAAATTTTTATTTTAAGAATATTAGAAGCTCTCTTAGAAGAAGATGTTTCTACTTTTTTTCTTGATCATCTTCATCTTCATCTTCATCTTCTACATCAAAATAAAATAAACATAAAAATAATTAAATTTAAAAAATATATATGCGGGCCGGCGGGTTGTGGCGGGCCGGCCCGCTATTTGGCCCGGCGGGTTGGCGGGTTGAAATAATAGGCCCGATTGGAGGGCCCGCGGGCCACAGCCCACTTTGCCATCCCTAATCAAAATTGTAAATTTTACAAAATTAGGAAATTAAAATAAAAAAAATAAAAATTAAGTTACTTAAATTGTGGATCGAATATTATAGAAGATTAAAAATATGATTTTAAAAGAAAAAACACGTCGGAGATAAAGATATTTACATATGGTATTAATTTTTAGTGTTCAAATAAAGAACTAAAATGTTTGAAATATAATTTCAAGGAATAATTTAAGTGTTTAATCTAAGTTTCTATTGCTAGAGTGGTGGTCGTAGAGACGAGTGCTAGTGCTACATATTGTAATTCCCAATAGGCAAGGAACATTGGTAATATTTGTTGATTTGATATTGCTTCATATTATAAATGAATGGAAATTTTGTCTAAAACTGAAATTTGTTAATGCCTAACTAATTTTAAATGTTCAGAGATTTTTATTTAGAAATATGTTATTTGTAGGAAGTATTTCAGACTTTATCAGTTATTAGTCTTTCTAAATAAGCTTGCTCGATTATTTTTATTAGGGTTTCTTCTCTTAATCATTTTTTTTTCTATTCACAAGACTGGAATAAAAAATCTTATTTAAGGGATCCAAGTTTTGATTCACTCAAATGAACAACTTGTAGTTAGACATTGCAATTTTTAAAAATGTGTGCAATTTTTTCTAATATATAATAACCATATTATTGCATATCATTAGATTATTATTAATTATTGATTACTTGTATTCTTTCTGTGTTCAATTAATTACTAGTATTTTACATGCATTGCATTTTGCTTCTATATTGGATACTATGGGGACATAGATACTGAAAAGAGAGCCGGGATATGGTAAACAACAGCTTACTTACATGCATTGTATTTTCATTTGTTTACCGTAAAAGAAGTACACTAGGAATTTGTTTAAAAACAAATTTAGAAGAGTTTTGGAGAATTTCTCGACTGGAAAAAACTGTTTATTTTCAGTACAGAAGTTTTTCTAAGTTTTGTAGACAGACTCTATATACTAACTCTAATTATAAAAACTGATGGAGGACCATCCTTGAAGACACATGTGGGCCCCATCACTAGATCCATGGCTAGGAGAGTTGAAGAGGAGGAGGGATCTCACACACCAAGGGACACTCTCCTCATGATCATAGAGTATTAGTTCTCTCCTAAGCCTCATTAGTATAGGGTTTATTTTATTTGCCAATTTTACTCTTGTATTTTGGGGTGCTTAGGACTGAGAATTTATTTTCTCTTGTATTTCCCATTTTACCCTTGTATTATGGGGTGCTCTAGATGTGCGAGGAGATTAGTCACTGCTGTCGGCGGTGGATACTCCAGGGACGAACAAAAAAAAAAAAAAATCAATTATATTTGTTTTCAATTGCACAAAAAGAATAAATGCTTTTGTTTAAAGTTAAAGATTAGTAATAATAAATATTTAAGACTAAAGGTTAAATAATTTAAAAGAAATGAGAAATTAGTAAAATAATAATTGTGTCAATTATTTACTAGTTAACTGTCCATAATTACCGTGATTAACTACAATGATAATCCCCTTCAAAAAAAAAACTACAATGATAATTTATGATAATTTAATATATTTAAATAATATATAATTTATGAAATTTATTAAAAAATTTCTTATTTAATATTTGAATGAGTTTTGCTATATATCATATAATATGTAATATTTTTTAAATTCAATGATTGTATTTTGTAATAAATATATAATTTTACAAAAAAATTAAGTTAAATTTCCGATGTTAAATGATAAAATAAGAATAAACTAAATTAACAATTTCACAAAATATTGCTACTAATTGTCTTAGAAATGCTCTTAATCATTTGGTAAATAATTTTCCTCTTAATATGCAATGATAGAAAGTAATTGTTTATCAGCTAAAATCGAATACTATACCCAAATTCTTAAATATAATTGATGTCATTGTTATAATTTTAACCTTTCGATTATTTTACGGTAACCTTTTGCTTTATTAGAATTAATAATAATAATAATAATAATAATAATAATAATAATAATAATTGATAATACTAACAATTTAAGGCTAAAAATTAAATAATTTTAAATAAAATGAGAAATTAGTAAATTAATAATTGTTTCACTTATTCACCAGTAATTATTTATCGATGACTAGCTTATAATTAACGAAATTAATTACTGATTTTGTAAATAAAAAGTTATCAAAAGTATTGATTTAGAATATCATTTATATAGGGAATGTTAGGGATCGCAATGAGGCTCCATAGGGGCGGGTAATAGTAAATCCGCTCTCACCCTGCCGGATGAAAATTGGTCCAATACTCACCCCATATCCACGCAGGTATCCATTAAGCGAATATCCATGAATTTTTTGAATACCCACGGATATTCATGGATATCCATGGATATTTATAATTTTTTTAAGAAATTAAAAAAATTATATTACAAACAATTTTAAGTTTATATTTAATGTCATTGAAATATTAAAAATAAAAATTTAAGGTTAATTTTGAACTTGTATTTAACTTTAATTTTGTTGAAATAAATAAAAATGCAAGATAATCAATAACTTAAAATACATCAACCTCACAAGTAAGTTAATGTCACATCACAAAGCTATAATAATTTAATCTCATAATTTCAAACGAAAGTAAACAACTTAAAATACATAAATTTTATTGGTCCAATCAAAGCAAAAAAATTAATCAAATTACATCCAACATAATTCTATAACATGCTTAACACGTGTTGGTAACTTCATCAACCTCATTTTTGTAAGAAAATAAGATGAGAGAGTTTAGTTTTAGGGTTATGTGGTACAAGGATGATTAAGATATTTAAGAAATATTATTAAACGAGTATCCGCGGGTATGTATATCATAATACCCGCCCCCGCCCCATTTATAAACAGGTAAAAAATTATCTTTCCCCATTATTCGCAGGTACCCAATTAACCTATCCATTTATTATTCGTAGCGAATTTTACCCGCAGATATTCCTGGGTGCGGGTATTTTTGCCATCTCTAGGGAATGTATTTGACTTATATATATTTAAACATTTCCTATAATAAACCATTTCTATTATGCACAAACTTCTATTTAATTATAATATATTACCATTATTATTTGATTTAATTTTAGAATGAGAATATATTACTCCTATATAAATGGTTCTTTAAGATCAAAAGTAGGGATGTGAATAAGTCAAGTCTTAAATAAAAACATATGTTCGACTCTTTAAAGTCTGGTCCGACCTGTCTTGCTTAATAAAAATGTCAAGTTTAAACTTTTTAAAAAACTTATTTATATAAAAAGATCAAGTTTAGGTTTACAAAAAAAACTATTAGGCCTAATAGGTCAATCTATTTATTTAAATAATATAATAAAAAAATTTATATATATATTAAAAATATAAATAAACAAATAAATTTATAGAATAAAAATAAATTATCAATATTTAAAGTATTTTTTATACAATTATTTTTTTTCATTATAGGTTTATAAGTTTACAATCTGTATATGAGTGTACATCAACATACATGGCTACATATAAATTGTCTCTTTAAAACAAAATGGTTCAATTTTTCTCTTAAATTTAAATTTTAATAATAGAATAAATATACTTCAAAAATAATTTTGTTGATTTTTAAAAATTAAGTTTATCAGCCTAATTAATATTAATAATTTAAATAGACTTTTAGGTAAACTAATAGATTAGGTTAGACCTATAAAAAAAATCTATGATAGCTAATAGGTCAGACTTACTTTAATTTTGTAGAACAAGTCCAACCTATATATTTAAAGTCTGACATGCCCTATTCTCATCCCTAATCACAGATTCACAAGGTATTAAATTGTTAATATCTATATCTTATTAAGATATTTTTGTTTGGTTTGAAACTAATTATAGAATTTTTTTTTTACATACAGGAAAGCAAAATTCAAGCATCTATTAAAAAATTGTTAATTGATAAGTTTGATTAATTACTTGAAGAAGACTCTATGTCTCAAAACAGTTAGTAACCCAAAATAAAGCAAGAATTAAAGTAACATCACTTTTAAAATTGATTTTTTAAAGATATTTTGTATCCAAGCAAAGAAGATACATTGATTGGTTAGTCAATTTCATATTATATTTCTCAAAATTATTTATACTACATACTATATTTGTTAAAATTATTTATATTGTTTATTTTAAAGTATAATTTTTTGTCACTTATTTTGTTTTATGTGACATCCATTCTACCCCAATATACATAATAAAGTAAATTAAAGAAATATCAATTTAACATAGGTAAAATGGTTCACATATCCAAAAGAAAATACATTTCCAATATCTGATCAATTTAAAACAAAGTTTAGAAAGCAAATAAGTTCGTAAATAGTTTCAAAGGAAATGTAAAAACTCCAATTACAATAAAAATTGAAGCCCTAGAAGGCCCTTGCCTCGATGTCACACTATCAGAGCATTCCTATGACTTAATTATTGGTACCTTAAATGTCACTTATGTCCACATCTTCCTCACCTAAAAACAACCACAATTGTACAGTGAGAAAATAAAATATTTATATAGAAAGCATATCACGAAATTCAACAACACAATCTCAAAGCAGTATAATCCATAAACACAACATTCATCATTCAAATATGTTCAACATCATTTCTCAAATCCACATATTTCATCATCTCATCACAACCACATATTTCATCATCTCAACACAATCCATATATGTGCTTATAAACAAATTGCACAATTTAACATATTTAATTTTATATTTTTATTAGTATTAAATTCTTATAAACTATATATTTAGGATTGTAGTTCTAACTAAACATTTAAAAAATGTCTATGATAGATAAATAAGTCATATTTAGAACATGTATTTTTTTTTAAAAAAAATTAGGTTCAAATATACTAAATTATAATATAACATAGTCTGTCCTAGTTTATTTTCATTCTTAATCGTAATCGTAGATATAAAAACTTGTAAAAAATAATTATGATATATATATTTATACTTTTAAAAGTTATATGTAAAATTTTTAATACTATAAATATATAAATAAGTATTATCCTCACTATCTAAAATTTCTGGATCCATCACTGATAGTAGTATTATCATATAAGGATGTCCGAGATATAAGACTATATGCGCCCCATCTACTTTAAACTCGCTCTAATGAACTTCTAATCCTCGATTAACTTGACAGCAGTGCTGCTCTTCTCCTTGTGTTATGTATCTTAAAAGTTATGTTCTGTAGTTTCACCAGTTGCTGAACTTCTGGTTTTCAATTGCAGATCGTGACTTACCTTCTAATGTCAGCATCATCATCGGCTGCCACAAGAGCTTATGATTGGGAATCCAATTGGGGTGCGGACAAGTTCCCCTACATGGCAAATGCATCCGTGGTTTTGTCCTTCCTTGCTTTTGTGGTCTTTGCCTTGGCCTCTCTTGTCTCAGGTTCTATCACTGTAAGGTTCAGATAATTTATACAAATACCATGTCTGAGGTGTGCAACCTCTTTATCTGAGATGCTATATTAAGTTTTATCCTCTCTTCATTGGAAATTGCCGCATATTTTAAGAAAGCAGACTCTCTTTGTACAGAAAAGGATATTTACTTTGTGTCAATTTCATTTGTATAGATGCTGGTGGATCCACAGCTAGCGGAACTGGCATGTATATTAACTTTTGCATTTAATGAGATGATATTTAGCTTAATTTTGTTTTTATTTCAGATAGGTTAGGACTTCGTTGATAGGTGACTTGATGAGCGTATAATCCTATTTTAGTACGGTGAATGAGTAGAAAGGAAATGAGGGATAAAAAAATAGAAGAGAGCAAGTGATAAATGTGATAAAATGCTGTGATAATAGCCAATAGGTAAAGAAAGGAAAAGAGAAATAGGAAAAACATGGAGTAGAATTAAGATGAAAGAGAAGATTAACGTATGAGTATAATCTATTATTAATTAATAAGAGAAATTTTATGGTACCCATTTTATGTGAGAAATACAACCATACCCACAACAACACATAAATAGCATTGTATCACGTGTGTGCCCTTACGGCCCGGTGTCACGCATACGACTGTGCCCAATCATCACATCACAGTTAACAATTCAATTTCAAATCACATGCACAACCAACATTTCCACAATAAGTCATACACATATCTTACACATCCTCCTCATACACATCAATCTTTAATTCACAATTAATTTACATTTAATCCAGCACATACCATTTATACCTCTTCATACAATAGTTATTACTAGACATCATACGATTCACTACCATTATCAAAATCCATCAATACAATATCATATTTCACAATCCCACATCAAACTCATTCAATCATATCATAAGTATTATAAAGCATCGCTGAGAAATCATAAAGTATCACAAACATGCCAAAAAGGGAGTCCCAAAACGTCAAAAACGCAAACTAAAATAGAATACTCGCGCCGGGCACCGTAAATCCTAACAGCTTGACTTCTACCCACTATTTTGACCATAACATGAGTTATACACATCCCTTTTAAATGATTTCAAATCCATTAGAAAGCTAAAACCCAAAGCTACAACTTTTATGAAGAACACAAAGCCTAAAAATGTCTTTGAAGGTCACCTCGCATGGCTAACAACGCAAAACTTAATATTTCGCGTACTAGAATAGAGATTGAACTTATACCTCGCATAACTAAATCAATTCTTAACATTTTTACATGATTCTAGAGACTAAACTTTAGCCCCAAGTCTCTAATTTCTAACCTAACAAAGAAAAATTGATTTGGTTAATCACACAGAAAGATATTACAAAAATACTAAGGCATATCTATAAGTAAAATCTCTCAATTACTCATTAATTCATATAATTAAGGGTGCTCATCAATCTACAAGAATCCTAACTTACAGAGCACATCCCAATAAATCCAATCATCATCTAGATCATCAATTTTACCAAATAATATCACAATCAAATTTATAAATCAATATAAAACCCGACTGAATAATCAATTTTATAAAATCTTAACTCAAATAGTAAAACCCCCAATTTTTTCAAAAACCTAACTCACAAGCATTTTTCTACAATTTTGTTCTCTCTCCTAGATCATCACCTTCACTAATTGTTCGCATATTCCTAATCCTCAATACACGTAGAATTTAATAGAATCATCAATTCTTCAAACAAAAATAATTATAAATTTACCAATAGCCCTACAAAATTTCTCCTCTACCTATTCCCTCACGTGACTTTGCACACAAATAAACCTTTATCCCCGTACCTAGTTGTGTTAAATAGAATAACCCTGAAACAATTTGAGATTGTTTCTAAGCACCTCATGAGCACTATTCCTCTCTGAGCTCTCTGTTTCTCCTCTCTTTCTTTCCTAACTCTTAAGAACACAAATGAGGCAGATATGGTTAATTCTGTCTGACCCCTTTCTTAAAATAATCAATTGGGTTGGGTCAACCCAACCTATCTTCCTTCTCTTTCGACCCACATCTCTTTTCCCCCAAAATAATTAAATAAAATAAATACATATACAATATAAAATATTTTTCCTCTATAATAATAATAATAATAATATATTTATGACCCAAAATATAATTATATAATTTCAATATTAAAATATTATATAAAATTAACCTTTTAGATTTTATAATAAAATATAAGATTTATCAACTCCCAAATTATCCCTTAAAACATATAAATAATTATTTAAAATGCTAATAAAAATACTTATTTAAAACCTACTGTCGCCACCGGCCCGAAACGGGCTTTCGGCATTCGCGAAGGATGGTTGGACTCTTTTATTTGTTTAAAAATATGGAGATGAAGTTACCAACACGTGTTAAGCATGTTATAGAATTATGTTGGATGTAATTTGATTAATTTTTTATCTTTGTAATTACTTGAAGAAGACTCTATGTCTCAAAACAGTTAGTAACCCAAAATAAAGCAAGAATTAAAGTAACATCACTTTTAAAATTGATTTTTTAAAGATATTTTGTATCCAAGCAAAGAAGATACATTGATTGGTTAGTCAATTTCATATTATATTTCTCAAAATTATTTATACTACATACTATATTTGTTAAAATTATTTATATTGTTTATTTTAAAGTATAATTTTTTGTCACTTATTTTGTTTTATGTGACATCCATTCTACCCCAATATACATAATAAAGTAAATTAAAGAAATATCAATTTAACATAGGTAAAATGGTTCACATATCCAAAAGAAAATACATTTCCAATATCTGATCAATTTAAAACAAAGTTTAGAAAGCAAATAAGTTCGTAAATAGTTTCAAAGGAAATGTAAAAACTCCAATTACAATAAAAATTGAAGCCCTAGAAGGCCCTTGCCTCGATGTCACACTATCAGAGCATTCCTATGACTTAATTATTGGTACCTTAAATGTCACTTATGTCCACATCTTCCTCACCTAAAAACAACCACAATTGTACAGTGAGAAAATAAAATATTTATATAGAAAGCATATCACGAAATTCAACAACACAATCTCAAAGCAGTATAATCCATAAACACAACATTCATCATTCAAATATGTTCAACATCATTTCTCAAATCCACATATTTCATCATCTCATCACAACCACATATTTCATCATCTCAACACAATCCATATATGTGCTTATAAACAAATTGCACATATACACCGTGCCACACATCCAACACCAAATCACATATATGCTCCTACTGATGCATCACACATTCAGCATCGTGTTACACACCCGACTGTGTTAATGCATTCCACTATCAACATCGATATCACGCATACGACTATACCGACCTATCACACATCTAGTACCGTATCACACATACAACCATACCCACAACAACACATAAATAGCATTGTATCACGTGTGTGCCCTTACGGCCCGGTGTCACGCATACGACTGTGCCCAATCATCACATCACAGTTAACAATTCAATTTCAAATCACATGCACAACCAACATTTCCACAATAAGTCATACACATATATCTTACTTTTTATTTTATAAGTATAATTTGAATTATTTATGTTATAATTAAATTAATTTTTTAAAATTTTTTTATAAGTTTACATAAAAAAATATATTGAAACTCCTCAATTTTTGAGAGTACCATAGCAACTCCCAATTAATAATATAAAAGAGAAGTTCAGTAACAACTCCTCCCCCTTCGTCATAACTCCTTTTCTTTTAAAACTTTGTTAAAACCTTTTTTTTAATATAAAAATGTTATTTATAAAAATAAAATAAACTCACAAAATATATAATATAAAAAATATCAAAATTAAAGAAAAAAAAATCAACAAACTGCTACTAAATATAAATTAAAAAAATGTACAAAAATATCAAAATGAATCAAAAGAATCAATATATATCAAAATAAATGAAAAAACAAAATAAACTCCTACTAAATATAAATTAAAAAAATAAATATATAAAATAAATATCAAAATAAAATAAATAAATAAATATTGGAATAAAATATTTTATTAAGAAGTTCTGCAAATCTCTTTTCCCCAAAAGTTTCAACTTTCATTCCTCTTAAACTCCCTCAAGACATTTTTTTTATATAAAAATGTTATTGATAAAAATAAAATAGGCTAATACAAAACATATGATATAAAAAATATTTTAGAAACTAAATTATAAAAATATTAAAAAAATAAAAAATATATATGATATAAAAATAAAATAAACTATATAAAATATATGATATAAAAAAATATCAAAATTAAAGAAAAAAAATTAGTAAACAAACTACTATTAAATATAAATTAAAATAAAAAATGTATAAAAAAATATCAAAATAAAAACGAAAAAATCAACATATATCAAAATAAATGAATAAAAAATTGGATTAAAATATTTTATTAAGAAGTTAAGCAACAACTTTTTTTCCCTTCAAAAGTTTCAACTCTTTCTCTAAAACTCCTTCAAAACCTTTTTTTTTATAAAAATATTATTTATAAAAATAAAATGAAGTAATACAAATCATATGATATAAAAATAATATATCAAAATGAAAGGAAAAAGATTAGTAAATAAATTGCTACTCAATATAAATTTAAAAATAAATGTATAAAGAAATTATCAAAATGAAAAAGAAAAGAATCAAATATAATCAATCAATCAATTATAACCCCAAGCGTGTGGTTCAGCGGTAGGGGTTGATCCACGCTTAAGCAAGGTCAGGGGTTCGAATTCTGCCTTGTGTATGCAGCCGCGTTAAATCTTGGGGCCAGCTTGTGTATGCAGCCGCATTAAATCTTGGGGCCAGCTATCCCACCCTTTGAGGTGCCTCCAACGTTGCGAGGAGATTAGTCACTGCTGTCGGCGGTGGATACTCCAGGGACGAACAAAAAAAAAAAAAAATCAATTATATTTGTTTTCAATTGCACAAAAAGAATAAATGCTTTTGTTTAAAGTTAAAGATTAGTAATAATAAATATTTAAGACTAAAGGTTAAATAATTTAAAAGAAATGAGAAATTAGTAAAATAATAATTGTGTCAATTATTTACTAGTTAACTGTCCATAATTACCGTGATTAACTACAATGATAATCCCCTTCAAAAAAAAAACTACAATGATAATTTATGATAATTTAATATATTTAAATAATATATAATTTATGAAATTTATTAAAAAATTTCTTATTTAATATTTGAATGAGTTTTGCTATATATCATATAATATGTAATATT